TTTCCCCCACAACTGAAAAACCAGTGGGCCAGGGATGGGGAAACTTTTATGGCTCACTCAGGAATTCTGGGAGTTGAAGTCCATAAGTGATAAAAGAGCCAAGTTTCCCTACCCCTGATCTACGGAATGTATAGCAGTCAACTCTACATCTTCCCTAGATCTCTAGAGCAGTTAAGCTTCTACTACTAAGCTTTTAAAACTTCTACATAAGTGTCAAGTTGGAGTAAGCATGGCTTGCTACGTCATGGTTAAATTGAACAAACTATAAGCTGTGTTTGTATAACATGACAAGCTATAAATCTAAGTTAATATTACTGAGTGAAATCAGGAATGATAGTTAATAAACTATCATTCCTGATTTCACTCAGTAATATTAAGACCAAAACACTAAGTACCTTATGGCTTGACATTATGAGACAAACCAACCATATAAATAAAAAATAACCTTCTCTGCTACATGTAAATTTGGGAAGTATGAAGTCACATAGAGAGGCAAAAATGAGAAGCTGGACAGCAGAGGCTGAGACTCCACCACCGAAGCTAAGTAAATATATGCCTTTTGCACAAATACAGTAGATATAGCAAAAATAAAAGAACTGAGCATCAGGAATGCAAAGGGAATACAAGTTTATCTAATCACAACCTCTTATACCACTGTTAAAATATTATTGAAAATGCTATGATGAAAAGTCATTCAAGAATATAGTAAGAATGGACAAGTATTTATATGGTAGCTGTCCCCAAATGTAACATCCAACTGCATCACTATATATACACACATATATATACATATATACATACATACATACATATATATACACATACATACATACATACATACATACATTCTTAAGTTTTCGCGGGTACTTACATGTATGGTATTCAGCTTTGTTCGGGTATTTTCCCACGTCATTGTAGTTGTAGTTTAAAAGCACAACTACAATGACGTGGGAAAATACTCAAACAAAGCTGAATACCATACACACACACACAATGCAGAAGCCTGATGATGGCAGATGAGATTCTGCTGAAACGTTGCTACAACTTTAAAAGCACAACTATAATGACGTGGGAAAATACCCGAACAAAGCTGAATACCATACATGTATGTCCCCGCGAAAACTTAAGAAAATCAATCAATCTGTCTATCTATCTATCTATCTATCTATCTATCTATCATCTATCTATCTATCTATCTCAGATATAGTACTGAATAGAAAAGCCAGCGGAACTTAAAGAAAATCTAACAAGATAGATACCATAGAAAAGTATGGATTCTCCTGAAGCAAAAATATTGGTAACAGATATTAAATGCAGAAGCAATCTGCTCACAGATATCCACAGAAACACAAATATCCTAGGGTTATTGGTACTGATCATTCACAGCAAATGACTCATAGAATAACACTACAAAACCACAGATCCTAATTATCATTATTCAGGATCCTAATTATCATTATTCAGTTATGTTGCATTACTGCGGAATATTTACAGTTGGTTTTCTCAACCCTTCCAAGAAGAACTGCACTAAGACTGACAGAAAACAATGAACAGTGCAATATTTCGCAATCCAAGCCTTAGCAAATAACGATCTCATATTATTCTGTCAGTTCCCTAAGGAACAGGGGTGTGTGGAAAAAAAAAAACCTCAACAGGCCAAAGGGAAGGTTTAAAGAGGGAAAGGGCACAAGGAGGCAGCTGCTAGGTAATTAATATGTCTGATGTAACTTTAAACTTTCTGCTTAAGGAATATCATAAGACATGATTCTATACAAGTATATGGGTAGATTTAGTTCTAAACATTTGAAAATATTTACTGTTATGAAACATGTCATGGACATGCCTTTTCTTTCATTCTGGATAATAAGAATTACAAGTCATTCATTACGAATCAAACATTGAAATAAGCAGCGATATAGCAGCCATGTTTGTTAGTGCTAACTTTGAGTTGCACAAGTATCTGGTCACTCGTCATTCTGAACGCATGGAAAGTGAATATTCTCCTACTCTCCTGCTTCACGTGGCTTCCAAAAGACTGTAAGTATGATTTTGAATTTCTTTGTAAAAATAACCTTGTCGTTAGCCTTTGAGTCAGTATTAATTCCTGGTGACTGTTTGGACAAGTCCCTGCAGTTTTCTTGGCAATGTATCTTGGAAGTGATTTCTATTGCCTCCTTCCTAGGGCACAGCAAGAGTAACTGGCTCAAGATCACCCAGCTGGCTATAAGCTTTAGGTAGAACTAAAATTCATGGTCTCCCATTTTCTATTCTGGTGCCTTAACTACTACACGAAACTAGCTCTCATTAAAATAACTAGTTCTCAAATGCTTTGAATTCCTACAAAGTAAGATGTTTAAAAGTTGCTCTTCACTAATTGATCACTTGATTCTATTTTCAAAGAGCAGCATATCTGTATATTATCAAAGCCTCAGGGTTGAGGTCTCAACCATGTATTCTCCAGCTGTCTGGTCTAACCACAAAGGAGGCCTACTCCCTACCTCTGCCTTTATATATACGTAACTGTTACTGCTTTCTCACCACAACAGGGGCCACCGAGAATTCAGCACTTGGCATTTTGTCTTTAGGTAATTACAGGTGAGTTGTCAATCCCATAACTTGCCTCCCCTAGAATATCCTATTGGAGCTGGCCCAGGAAGTAAGCTTGTTTTACCATGGTAATACAATTCCTTTGCATTACTGACCTCAGTTATTGATTACCATGGTGACAGAAAATACAGCAACTCTTCCGTCAGCAGCCCATAATTCCACCTGGGAAGCAACTTCACTTTTCCAGCAAGGGAAGTCTTGGATCCTAGACTGGCATGAATACCATAATCCATCCATACCCACTGTCTATCCTAGCTGGGGAACACAGGAATATAATACAACATATCCACGTGATAGTAAATTGGGTAAAGTTGTTCAAGATCAATATAGTGACCTCAACAATAACAATATTTATAAGTAAGTACATCTTCTTGATGGCTACTCACACCTGTGGAATTATACTAGTGGAAACTTTTTATATCTAAGTATCATCAAGAAATACTGGCTTTCTTTAAAAAATATATTTTTCAGCATGTAAACAGAAGAGAGATAAAGGCAGAAATAACTTATGCTAGTGGATTTTCATCTGCACATCTCCAATTTTTAAATAACTTTTTATATTCTGATCTTAATCTGACTCCTAGCAATAAAAATTCAAATAAATTTTGAAAAATAATTAGAGAATGAGACCATTCTTATTATTCAGAGTTTAATTTTATTATTGAAATAAAGTGTTATAAAAATAAACTAGGAACCTGAAATGAGATTCCAAAATCTAGGACTGCAATGGGTGCATAAAACATGTAATTTTTCAGGTATCAAACAGGCAAAATAAACTTCACCTCAGAATCTTCCAAAAAAGGCCAAAATTTAAAATAAAATGGGACAGGAAATAAAGTGAACTATCTTTGATCCTTGTCATTTATAAAACATTTGTGGGTTGGCTTCTTACCTAGGTAACACCCTTGAATTAACTAAGAATTAAAGAAGTTTAATTTATCAAGATATCATCTACACATTCATTGTAATAATTAACCCAAAATATTTTACTTCCTTGTTCAGCAGCCAAATCTTCAAGCGTTCACCTAAGAAATATGCAAGTGGTCTTATCTTGTTATAAGATCCTACAATCATGCTAAGAAGCAATAAAAATAGTTTGTCAGAGACCTATCCGAAGGTTTAAAAAGACATTTCAAAGACTTGTTGAAAGTCTACTTGTTATATTATTTTGACAAAAATAAAGAAGCAACTTGCCACTGGGTTTTTTTCAGCATCCTTTTTTACTTAAGATCTTTTTAATTAAAAAATTCCAAGTTTTTGCAAATAGAAATCTACCCTAGTTTTTTTCATCCCTCTTTCTTAGCCCAATCCACCTCAGTGTGGTTGTTAGTGGGAAAATAGGCAGAACTATTAGGTATGCTTACTTCCCTTGAATTATATATAAAAATGGTGGGATAATAATTAGGAAGGAATTTTTTGCTTCATCCTTTTTTTTTAATAGAAAAACTGGATTCAGAAATCTTTCCTAATTTAAATTATGTTCTAGTCATACCTGCTTCCAACTTACATTGACTCAGGACAGATTGAATGGTCTATTCTCAACTGCTTTTTACATTTGTCCATTTCTCTCTACCTCAAGCATCTGCTGTACTGGACTGACCATTTCCCTCTGACTAATGGTGGGGCCTGCCATCTGTTCATTTACTTCTAATAACCCTAACCAAGTGTCCTCTCCAGTAGTAAGTCAACAATGGCAAAAGAACCACTGTGTATTTAGCATATCCAAACTGACAACCAGAAAAACCACTCAGGTACTGCAATTGAGGAGAGAAAAAGACCAAAAGCCTCAAAGCAGGAATTAACCTTTTTGTAATTTGTTAGCAAATGAACTATTTCTTTCTCAAATGAAAGACATGACCTCATCCTCATTATGCGTGCAGATGATAAGCCCAAACCCAATATTATATACCATGCTGGTTAGATTACAGGGGGTCATAGGTGATTGACCCTTTTGAGTCCTGTTATTACATCACACAAGTCCCCAGGCCCTTGGGAGTATAAAAACAGCCACCAAAATAGTAAGCTCAGAACGCAACCCTTGAAGTAGAAGCATGGTGTATGAATGTCCCTTTTTTTTGTTACTACAAATAAAACCTTACACATTTCTTCGCCAGGGGAACACCAGCTCGGCCACAATTTTTGGCCTGCAAATGGAGTCTCTGCTGTGACAAAAAAAGTGAAAGCAGGGCACTTCTGCACAGGATCGGAGCCTCCTCAACAATTACATAAGCTCTGGCCATTCGCAACAGGTTTCAGGCGGTGAGGAGACCACCTGTGCCCCCTTCTCTCTCTCTCTCTCTGCTGCCTCACCGGGCCCCGATCCCAGCCATCAAACCCGCAAGCAGGCGCGCGAAGAAATTGGGGAAAGCCAGAAAGGACGCAACCAGACCGACCCTCGCGATGCCTCCTCCGGGACCCCGTTCCTCCGATCCGGGCGCCGGCTCCACTGTACCGCCTGCTCCCGCCCGAGCCGAGAAGGGAAAGGGAAAGGGAGAGAAGGCGGGGGGGGGGGGGGAGAGAGGAGGAGTCAGCATCTCCCTGATACCGGCACCTTTCCCTCCAAGCTGCAACCGCCCACGGGGCTCAGCAAAGCGGAAGATGTAGTAGGCTCATGCGGCTCCTCCTCAGGCAAGCAAGCGGAAAGAGAGACACCCGATTCGGTCTGGGGTCCTTGTCCCCGGCGAAAATCAACAGGCTTTTTTTCCACCGAGGCCCGGTCGAGGCAGGGATCTCCGATGAAAACTCCCGCGCTCAGTAGGCCCCGCTGCGGCCGCCGCAACGCGAGGGACCATTCCGGGAAGTCACCCAGCCGTCGGCCTACTACGCAAAGCTCTTTGCACGGTGTGCCTTAAAAGCGCTCGCCTGCCTCCCCGGGCTGCAAGCGGAGCCCAGCCGGAGCGATTTGCTCGCTTACCTTGCTTGCTTCTTGACAGCCCGGCAGCTTCTAGCTAGCCTCGGTGCTGCATTTTTTTTGCTTTGGAAACCCGGCCTCACGGCGCAAGCCCTGCAAGCAGCTCGCGGATGAACAAGAGAGAAAGGGGGGGCAGAGCAAAGTTAGGGGGCTTTTGGCGGTCTCCCGTCTCCCTCCTCTTCCCACCCCCACCCTGCTTCCTCCAGGCGCCTCTCCGCTAACCGGCCTGCAAAGGAACAAGTTGCCGTAATAGGGCGGGTAGGTGGTGGTGGGGGTGTTGGAAGCGGGTGGAAGAGAGCAAGCGCTTCCCGCTCCTCCCTTTCCACACACGTGTTAGCGCCGAGAGAGGGAGAGAGACTCGCGCTTGCGAGTCACTCAGCCGCCCTGCTCGAGCCAGAAGATCCTTTTCAGAAGGGAGGCCGTTGCAGTGCTCTGACATTTGCAGCGAGTAAACAATTCCCCTGCCAAAGAAAGTGACCCTATTAAAAACAAAAATAACCAAGAAACAACCCAGGGCCTCCACACAGTCGCCTCTCAAAAGACCTAGATCCGTTTCCAAGGGGGAGAGCGCGAGGCTTTTCCTTCTCGGTTCTTCACTGGGTTCATTCGTGGGCAACTCCCTTTTGTTTTCCCTCCATTCTTGCCTTTTCTTTAGCCAGGAGGGGAAGGGGAGAAAATAACGGAAAGTTGGAGCGGCTGAACTGTTTGCCTTTCCGCGGATAGTGCTTATGGGGCTGCCTCTTTGGCGCTTCCTTCTGGATCAAGTGGTTCATTGGGGGACTCGGGTTGCAAGACGAAGGGTGTATTCCCCGCCTACTGTCCAACCTGAGTTAAAAGTTATTTTAGAAGAGACTTTATTATAACCCCAGGGAACTGCCAACAGGTGATCTGGCAGAAAAGGAATTCAGGGATCCCAGCATGGTAACCAAGTGGGTTTCTGGAGGACATAATCCTTACTCTTCCCTGTGCTTACGCTGGTGGTGTGTCTGCTCCTTTTTTGCAAGTTGCTGTTCTGTGTCAGCTTGTCAGCTGGAAAGCTGAGTGTCTGGTTGGAGACCTCCTGTGGAGGGTGAGCTCCTGATTCTGCCTCAGCTTCTGCCCACCTAGCAGTTGGAAAGCATGCAAATGCAAATAGATTGATAGGTACCACTTTGGTGGTGAGGTAACAGCATCCTGTGCACCATTGGCATACAGCCAGGCTGGCCACATGACGTGACCACAGAAACTCTTAGGGCAAAGCTGCCTCCCTTGGTCAAGAAACTGATACTTACCTGCATACCATCTCTTTAAAGTGGCCAAAAGCATTTGTGTTCAACACTAATGTTGAAACTGCAGGATCTAATCTGGATCGGTCACCAGGACCAGAGATTTTGTCTTCTGAGATTTCAGATTTGTGCTAGAGCTCATCTTCTCTCTAGCCTAAAGAGAAGTTCCCTGAAGAAGGAGAGGAAAGGTTCCCTGGGCTCCAGCATGACTCCGAAAACTCAGAAGGCAAAACCTCTGATCCTGGCGACCGACCCAGATTGAATCCTGCAACATTATCCTGGAACAGGTATATTCACCTTCATTCGTGAACGTTGAAACGGAATGCAATGCCATAAGCAATCCATGTATGGCTTAAGGCTAGTATGTGTTAACCCAGATCCTGGAAACAATTCCATGATGTTTGTGCATCTAATTTATAGTCAGCATACGTGTGCTACCTTAGTCAGATAATTTGCATTTTAATGCGTATAACGGTAAAACTGAAAATGTTTTCATCTGTTTAATAACTCTGGAACCAGATATACCAAAAATTAAAGGACGAAACTGAGCATTCTTCAGGATATGAAAATATAACAACTAAAACCGTGAGATATTCTGGGCAGCCTTTAAAATGCTCTTTTGGAGAAAAGAGCCTCAGGCACTTCTGAGATGTCTTTAACAATCTGTATTCAGGGTTTTAAAATAATTGTACAGGTTGAGCTGCTATTTTGGGAATGCAGTTTCAAGCGAACATACAGATCTGCGGTCTCAAAGGGACTGACTTGAGGTCATGAGTCTATAAACCAACACGTGATCGTTTCATTAGGAAATTCAATGTACATTTTTGTCAACCTTAAGCAACACAAATCAGACCAGATAAATGTTTTCAAGCCTGACCTTTTGAAAGGACCTTATGTATTTAAATAGAGATAAACAGTTGAACATCTGAAATATAATACTTCTATTTGTACCCTGGTTTTTTTTCTTCTAAGGGGGGGCATGTTCAATATCAACCCACTTTTAGTCTGGTTGCAATAGTTGGTGAATAACAAACCTAGTTAGAAAGACATGGTTAGCTCAGATTCACCAGGCATCCAACTTACGTATCCAGGTCTAAATATGGTTACTCAGAGGGACATCCAAGCATAATTTACTTCTTTTTATGCCTTTTAAACAATGAGTTAAACTCAAGGGTCTTCCTAAATAGGCCTACTCTGGACAATTATAATAATAGAAAAGGAAGAGATTATTTTTGCCGGTTATTTCTAAAACTAAAATTTCAATGTTCCCAGAAGGTTTCACTACATCAGTATGGCTTGGGAGACTGCTATGGGAGAGACAGAATGTAAGAGAGAGAGAGAGAGAGAGAGAGAGAGAGTGTGTGTGTATACATATACACACATACATACATATATATATATACATATATATACATACACACACACACACACACATATATATATATATGGCCTTCAGCTTTGTTCGGGTATTTTCCCACGTCATTATAGTTGTGCTTTTAAAGTTGTAGCAACGTTTCAGCAGAATCTCATCTGCCATCATCAGGCTTCTGTATTGTGTCCGTCTGTGAGTCAGACTTTTACAGTGGTTTCAGATTTAAATTTGGGGCAGTCTATTGCTGTGCCAGAATGGTTTTTTCTTCATCCTGATTGGTTGGGAGTCTTGGTCTGTGTTTATTGGTCTCGGAGTTTGCTGTGTTCTGCTTGATTGGTGTCTCTAATATCTTCTGTCTGTTTTTTGGCTCTTTTTGTATCTTGATTGGCTGGCAGCATTGTGTTACTTTATTGGAGGTCTTTAGTGCAGCTTGGCTTCGGGTAAATGGACGGCTATCATTAGTTAGGAAGCTGGGTTTCATCTGGGTGCCTGGTTGGGATGTGTTTGAGCTGGAGGTATCGGGGGGGATCTGTTTGTGCCCAGGTGTTTGCCTGGCTTGTGGTGTGGAGATTTTTTTGTTTGTGAGTGCAGGCTTCCAAATGATTGACAGCCTGGTGGAATCATCTCTTCTGTTCATGCTTTCTGATCTTTTTTTCAATCTCTATGGCTTCTCTGATGATTCTGTGGCTGGAATTTTCTATAGTGGCTAGGGTTTTGGTGCCATTGAAGTTGATGCTATGACCTGTGGCTTCCATGTGTTGGACTAGTGAGGAAGTGTGTTCCAGCTTTTTGACTGCATTTTTGTGTTCATCCAGGCGGGTGCTTATTCTTTTATTGGTCTGTCCAATGTATGTGGCCGGGCATGATGCACAGGGGACTTCGTATATGCCTTGGTTATATTCATTCTTAAGTTTTCGTGGGTACTTATATGTATGTTATTCAGCTTTGTTCCGGTATTTTCCCACGTTATTATAGTTGTGCTTTTAAAGTTGTAGCAACGTTTCGGCAGAATCTCATCTGCCATCATCAGGCTTCTGTATTGTGTTCGTATGTGAGTCAGACTTTTACAGTTGTTTCAGTTTTAAATTTGGAGCTAGCCTACTGCTGTGCCAGAATGGTTTTTTCTTCATCCTGATTGGTTGGGAGTCTTGGTCTGTGTTTATTGGTCTTGGAGTTTGCTGTGTTCTGCTTGATTGGTGTTTCTAATATCTTCTGTCTGTTTTGTGGCTTTTTTTGTGCCTTGATTGGCTGGCAACATTGTGTTCCTGTATTGGAGGCTTTTAGTGCAGCTTGGCTCCGAGTAAATGGACGGCTATCATTTGTTAGGAAGCTAGGTTTCATCTGGGTGCCTGGTTGGGGTGTGTTTGAGCTGGAGGTATCAGGGGGGATCTGTTTGTGCCCTGGGGTTTGCCTGGCTTGTGGTATGGAGATTTTTTTGTTTGTGAGTGCAGGCTTCCCAATGATTGACAGTCTGGTGGAATCATCTCTTCTATTCATGCTTTCAGGTCTTTTTTCAATCTCTATGGCTTCTCTGATAATTCTGTGGCTGGGGTTTTCTATAGTGGCTAGGATTTTGGTGCCATTGAAGTTGATGCTATGACCTGTGGCTTTCATGTATTGGACTAGTGAGGAAGTGTGTTCCAGCTTTTTTACTGCATTTTTGTGTTCATCCAGGCGGGTACTTATTCTTCTATTGGATGTCCAATGTATGTGGCTGGGCATGATGCACAGGGGACTTCGTATATGCCTTGGTTTTCCAGGTCAACTGAAACAACTGTAAAAGTCTGACTCACAGACGAACACAATACAGAAGCCTAATGATGGCAGATGAGATTCTGCCGAAATGTTGCTACAACTTTAAAAGCACAACTATAATGACGTGGGAAAATACCCGAACAAAGCTGAATAACAAAGCTGAATAA